CAACACCAGCGCAAGCACCACATACCGACATACCCGCTCCACCTGCGGCCACTTATTCCGACCCTTTGATCCTCGAGCACTCCATCAAAACCTTCGCTCGGGAAAATGGTTTCGTCATTGTCAGGAAGAGGACTGTTCCCGGGAAGAGTATCACTTTCAAATGTGACAGGTAAGTACTCCTTCTGCATAGCACTCAAATCAGAGCTCATGCTCAATGGCCAAACTTTTTCTCCATCTTATGTGTAGGGGTGGTAACCCAGCTCGAAACAGACGGAAGAATGACACACGCCCTGGACCCATCGTCAGTCGACTGATCGATTGCCCATTCGACGCAAGGGCCCAGATCCAGAAGAAGGCCGGAGGGGAATGGAAGTTTACCGTGGCCGATCCCCAACATAATCATGCACCCAGTGAAGATCCGTCCGGGCACACCGCCAATCGAAAACTCTCGAAGGAGCTCTATGAGCAAATGAAGAAACTAGGTGACGCGGGTTTAAAACCAGCTCAGGTTCTCCAATCACTCAAGAAGACACATCCCGATCAGTCGATCTTGGCCACAATTTCAACTGTGTACTCCGCCAGAAAGAAGGCTTGGGCCAAAGAGTTACGTGGTCTCAGCCCGATAGTTCATCTTAATCAAACCCTCACGACGGACTTCACCTCAGCAACAAAGGTAAATGATTCTGGCGAGATTCTAGGTCTTTTCTTCTGTCACAACCTCTCGCTTCAGCTCCTCCGTCATTTCCACTACGTCTTATTCCTCGATTGCACCTACAAGACAAATAAGTATTGCATGCCCCTCCTCCACATTGCCGGCGTCACTGGATCCAACAAATCCTTCAGTGTCGCCTTCGCTTTCCTTCACGAAGAAACCGAAGAATACTACAAATGGGCTCTTGAATCTCTGCTCAACGTGTTCACTAGCAACGATATTCCTATCCCTGAGGTAGTCCTGACCGACCGGGAACAAGCGCTTATGAATGGTCTCGACTCCGTTTTCCCCACCGCGACTCATCTACTGTGTACCTGGCACATCAACAAAAACCTGATTTCTAACGGGGCCAAAATGATCAAGGACAAGAAGAAGGAGGCTGAAATGATTCAACACTGGAAGAATCTCATCAAAATCACGACCACCGGGGACTTCAGGACCGCCTTTGACCAATTCGCTGGAAGTTATGGTGAGAAATTCGGCAATTACATGCGCTCCAACTGGCTCCCAGTTGCGGAGAAATATGCGAACGCCTGGACGAGGGAAGTGCCCCATTTTGATCACCGGACCACATCTCGGATCGAATCTTCACATTCCTTTGTCAAATCTCATCTCCTTGGTCCCAATCAATCCCTCAACTCGACCATCAAAATGATCACCAACGCCATCGAAACCCAAGTACACAACATAAGCTCCCTCCACCGCCAGGAAAAAATGGACGCTCTCATGAATCTCGGTTCCCTGTTTGACAATTGCCTTGGCCGGATCACCCATTTTGCTCTGAGGAAGGCACAAAACAACCTGCGCATATCAGCAAACCTCGGGAAGAAGGATCATTGTAACGGCTTTCATCGACTCCGGACAGGTATTCCGTGTAAACATCGCCTAGCACAGTTGGCTCGGTCAGGCGGACGGTTGGAACCAGAAGACTTTCACCAACAATGGCATATCCACGTACGTTTGTTACATTTTTCAGCTCTTAGAGTCCTTAATAACATATTCCTTCATTTTAATCAACAACAGGATATCCAACCAACAAACAATCCGGGACAAAACAACCCACAAGCCCTAGACCAGATCGAAACCGTCAAGCAAAGGCTCCTCCAAACGAACCCGAGCACGTTAACCATACAGCTTGACACGATCTCTCGACTTCTGGACGGCTCTGCCACAGTTGTCGACCTTCAGTTACCGAAGCAGGTGCAATCAACTCGAGGTAGACCCAAAGGAGCTCTGAACAAACCCAAATCAACAACACGGGACCCGTCGGAATTCGAACACATTGAAAAAAAGAGGAAACTTGAAGAAAAAGCCGCCGAGAAGAACAAGAAACGGAAGACCAAAGAAGATAATCAGAAGAAGAAAGAGCAGGAAAAAAAGAAGAAGGACGACAGCAAAAAGAAGAAGGAAGAAGAGGCCCCAAAGAAGAGGAAGGAAGAAGAGGCCCCAAAGAAGAGGAAGGAAGAAGAGGCCCCAAAGAAGAGGATTCAACCAGTCAGGAAAGGAGCCACCAAGCCAGTTGTCGTCGTCCCCAAGAAGAACGTGAAAGCAACCGCCCCTGAATCCTCCCCTCCCTCCTCCCCCGTTCAAGCCAACCATAAAAAGCTCAAAGTCAATTCCTCTGCCGATGCCTCTGTGCCCTCGTCCCCCATCACTCCCACCGAACCGGCCCCATTGGTGCTTCTAGACCCTCCCCCACGTCCATCTAACCCCCATCTCCCAATTCCCCCATCCGATCTCGATTACCTTCAGTACTTACCCAAAATTATTCAACCTGATGTCCGGGATATTTTGGATGTTCGATCAGATGGACACTGCGGATTCCAAGCTGTGGCTTACGCATTGGGACGCGGGCAGGGCGATTATATGGCGGTTCGATATGAATTGTACAATGAAATTGTTTGCCGGCCTGATTGGTATCGAAACGTGTTCCACAAACTCCACGGCGCTTTGGATCGTATCAAGGTTGATTCGCCATCACCTTGTTCAAAGCCTCATTGGATGTCCATGCCTTCGACGGGTGAGGTAATGACCAACGCCTTTGAGAGGCCTGTTTGCTTTTTTTCTGACACCTTTTGCCAGACTTTTCTTCCTTCTTTCTGCCCCCCCAATGACAACCCCCCTATTCTTATTGCTTTTCTACATGAATTTTCTCATTTTGTCCCCTTGCAGTTACATAACCCAAGACTGTTTGCTGCCCCTCAGCTCATGAACGCGTGGAAAGAAAAGGCGTCAGAAGAGGCTTGGGGATGGGAAGCCCAATTTTCTGATTCTTTCAAATTGACTGTAGAGAGGAAAATAGAAAATCCAATGAAACACTACTAGGGTTTTTTTTTATCCTGTGTCTTTTTTAGTTATTGATTTTTTTCCTCTATGTCCTTTTTTACCCTGTTTTTTTCCTTACATTTCTGATCATTTTTGAATGTTTTTGGCCCGTTTGTCATCTCTTTTATCTCTTGCAATGGATTTTCTCAATGATTCTAATTTTTTTATCATTCTAATTTGTGTATCTTGCATTTGGGGTGGGGCCTCAGTGGCTCAACCTTTTTTTGAAGTCTCTGAGGGTGCCATATGGCGACGACTCCCATTTATAGTTGGACGACTCCCATATTCTTTTAACATAGAAAAAAAGGGAAAACATTGCGCGGAATTGGTGGGGCGACTCCCTCGTATTAGGTGGACGACTCCCTTGAATTTAATTATATATAAAATTTGAAATTTTAGGCGGAATTGGTGGGACGACTCCCGCACTTTAGTCTGACGACTCCCTTTGATTTAAATATAAAAAAATGCAAAAAATTAGGCGGAATTAGTGCGGCGACTCCCGCATTTTAGTCAGACGACTCCCAATTTTTTAAGAAAAAAAATAAAAAATCTCCAGGTAAAATTAGTACGACGACTCCCTATGTTTTTTCAGGAATTGGAAGGACGACTCCCGTTCGACGACCTCCCGACCAAAACGGGAGTCGTCGACTAATTTTTGGGAGTCGTTTTTCCAACCCCCTATATTTTATGCACACACATATATACATGTATATATGAGGACATAACAAAAGAAAAGAAAAAAGGTTGAGAACATTGAAAAAAAACACATTAAAATTACATAAAGAGAGAGAAAGAAATAGGTCAAGTAAAATAATGAGGATCAAAAAAAGAAATAAAAATGAAAAGAAAAAGGATAAAGGATAGAGGGAAAGAACAATGAAAAGTCAGAGACAAGATATCTATATCTATACACATATGTGTCATATATATATATCATATGCTTACAATACATACAATCAAAACCAACGATATAATAGACAAAGTAGTAATCAAAAAAGGAATCCTCCTCATTATTAGAAAGAAGGGGGAGGAGAGGACAGAGACTACCTGTTACTTGTATTTTTCTTGTTGATTGGTGACAAAAAGTAAGACAAAAGATAAGGCAGAGTCTAAATATAGATCGACATGTATATCTGCTGATTAATCTTTCTTATTCTTCTTATTCTATGTATCAAGCTTTTGATGGGCCAAGCAAAAGGAAAAGAAAAGAAAAAACACCTTGATTGTGTGTAGTGACTTGCTCGACGACATGGACGACTTGAGATGCAGATGTTTTTTAAGGATAAACTTTCTGTAAAAGTGATAACAAAGAAGGGGAGACACACCTCATCAGTACGTGTTAATTTGAAACACTAAAGCAAGAGAGTGGAGGAAGAGAGGGAGAAGTTGGATTGACTTACTTTGACAGCTTCAGCATAATGATCTAAGATCTTCTTGCGGTTCAGTTTCTGAGCGGCAGTCACCAAGCCATTCTCAGGAGTCCATTCTTCATCTGTCAAAACAACAGATTGCAATAACTGTCCCGAACAAAAAACAGAAAGTCAGTCTCAACATGAATGTACGATGAAAACCACAAAGGCAACATACCTCGAGGGGTTTGAAGCCGGCCTTTTTACCGGTAGCCAAGAGTTCTTTCAAGACCAATTTTTCAACCTCTTCATTCAGACACATCTCACTGATACTTTTGCCACTCTTGCCGAGCTTCAATTCCTCATAGGCGAGACTGAGGTTCTTCTCATGAACAAAGACGATCGCCATCGGTCGATTGGCAGTCGCATCGGCGTGAACACATAGGTTACCGACTAATGAACACGACTTGTAAATCGATTCTAGCTTCTCTAACGCTATGTATTCTCCTCCTGCTAGTTTGACTAAGTTCTTCTTACGGTCAATTATCGATAAAGCTTTTAATAATTAGAAAAATCGTAAATTGAGGTGAGTTTTCAATAGTTCAAGAAAGAGTAAGCCGTTGATAAAGAAAGCCTTGACGTACTTCCGTCCTGGTTCCATTGAGCAATATCACCAGTCTTAAACCAGCCATCGTCGGTCATACTCTCCTTAGTGATATCTTCCCTCTTGAAGTAACCTTTGGAGACCGAGGGGCCTCGAATCCAAACCTCACCCTGAGGATTTGGAACGTTAGTAGAAAGGTAACCGGTTTCCGGAGCATCGACCAATTTGATTTCTGTGCTGGGTACTGGGACCCCCACGCATTCGTATTGCATGTAATTAGGAGACAAGATCGCACACATCCCACAGGATTCCGTTAGACCGTATCCTTGTAAGACTGAGACTAGCGCTTTCGACAAGAATTCCTGGGTCTCTTTGGATAGTGCAGCTCCACCCGAGATGGCATATCGTAAGTTGCCGCCAGTCTGTTCACGAACTTGGTTGAAGACCACCGTGTCCATCAGTCCTCCTCCGATTCGACTCAGGATCGGATTTCTCTTGACTGCCAATGCAGCATTGAAGATCCCTTCTTTCAATTTGCCGCCCGCTTTGACTTTGGCTAGAATCCCCTTCCGGATCAGTTCCCAAACTGCGGGAACTCCAACCATCACAGACGGTCTGAAGGTTTTGATGTCGCCCGAACAATTCCGCATCGATGCCTCGGTCAGTGTTTTGACAGATCCGTAACCGATTTTGACACCCATCGACAGAGAAGTTAGCTCGACAATAAATTCCAAAATGTGCTGTTTCCAGTCAAGCAAAAGACGGGAAAGCATGAGACTATCAGCATGGAATCGGAAAGTACGATGAATTGCGTGGATATACTTCAACTTACAGCCAAAGGAAGATATGCGATTACGGATTCATCCTCGCTCATAAAATCTTGTAGCAAAGTCCGAACTCCAGCCACTACATGATTTGAATGCAAAACCGATCAGTAATCGGCTCAATACAAAAGACGAAGAAGTAAAAGGTACGCTTACCGGAAGAAATTAGATTGAGGTGACTGAGGAGGACTCCTTTGGGAGCGCCGGTAGATCCACTGGTGTACATGATACAAGCAATGTCACTCGGTTCTGGTCTGACGATCTCATGAGCCTTAGTTTCTCCCAATTGACGAAGCTCATCGTAAGTGATGATTCGGATATCAGATCGAGTGTCTTGAATTTTCTTGAGGACTCTCTCATCGGCTTGTTCATCATAAATCACATATTTCAATGTCGGCGTCTTGTCCACAATCGCCGCTAAGGTTCCTAGCAAGTTCGCATTTGTGAAGATTCCTACTACCTCGGGTTCGTTGACTGAGTGCTCTAGTCCGGTGACTCCCAATGAATCATAAGCGGTTGCAAAAGTAATCGATCTTCGAGAACAGGCTATCGAAGAACAACAAAAACAAAAGGATGTTAGCCATATATCTGAAAAAAAAAGTGGGCAATGATTTTCTTTTACCATGAGCCATAACCTGCCATGAAGGTTTGGTAGCGGAATAGATGTTGAACCGTTGATCTTTTGTCAGACCGAGTTCAGCGAGCCCGTTTGAGATTTTCGAGACTTCTTCAAGTAATTGACTATAAGTCCAATATTTATAATCGCTCATTTCATAAAACTCCCAAATCTTATCCTCCTTGACTTCTTTTCCGCCGATCACCTTGGTTACCGTCTTAGTCTCCTTGTGAAGTTTGATCAACTCTCGCCAGCCAACAGCATTGGCTGTAGGGAAATCTTTGGCCGATTGGACTAGAAGGTCCGGAAGAACATGGATCCCAGGGATCGGCTCGGTGACTAGTTTGTCGGGTGAAATGAACGACCGTCGAATCCTCGTTTCGCCCTGGGGATTCTCATCTCCTATTTCGACCGAAGCTGGTTGCATAGCCATTTCGACACCTGTTTTTTCCATTTTTTTTTTTTGGATTATTTTTTTGTAAAAAAGAAATCGTATTTAGTTAGTATATCTGTTGAATCTTTCGATTTCCGAGAAGAAAAAAAAATAAAGAGACGGCATAATATGGTGGTAATAGGGGAGGGACCTTTGAGAGAGACCAAATGAGAAAATGAGGGATCTTCGTGAAGTGAAGGGTCCCCATCAGTAGCAAGTTTTGAAGCCCAGTAGGCCAGACCACTAAGGATGGATCCAATTGCGATTGTAAGAAGAGGAGGAGACTCGAAGAGCGCTTGGGCTGGGTTAGTCGGCAGAGGATATAGTTTGGACATCATAGTGGTGATTACAAATGGACAAGATCAATGATTGGAGAGAATCGAAAGAGAGGAAAAGGCGATGATCTATGGTAGACATCTATCTATGGGATGTGAATGAAGAGTTGGAAAGATAAATGGTTAAGAGTGAGAGATTATGTTCCTTACCGGTTTAAACGGTTGGGGTTTTTTTTTCTTCTGGTGGTTGTTTTGTTTTCTTGACTGACTGAGTGAATCTGATTGAGAGGTCGATGATCGAGTCGAGGGATGATGGTGATTGAAAGTGTGAAAGTGTGAGGATAGGTGCTTGGATGGAGATGGATGGCAGATGAGGGGAGAGAGATCAGTTTGTTGGGATTGAGATTGGAGCTTGATTGAAGTGGTTTAATGTTGTTGTTGTTGATGGTCAAGAGGGAAGTCGAGTGGGAAGCTGGCCGAGGCAGTGGTGACTTGAAGGGCTCTTATAGTTGAGTGAAGTGGCTTAGTCAGTGTGATCGAGTGCTGCTTGCTGACATCAGCAGTCTCCGCACTCATGCTCCCTCTGACTGTAAGACGACCCCGGCTCACTTGCTCACACCAAAGGAAGACAAGTTGTTTCTGATCAACTTCACAAGCCATCATGTCCGTCTCAGTCTGTCGCTCGAGGAAAAAACAATGTATTGTTTGTTTGAGTTGGGCATCCTTGTGAACAAAACACATTATCTAATCGGATACATCCTATGTACAGTACTAGCTCTCCGATCCGATCAACATACAACAACGTCAACAGCCTGGGCGGATTCAACCGTCCAAGGTCGTTGCATTGCATTGAGGAGAGCACCATGGTACGTTGGGTGGGCGCCGGAAGCCCCGGAGTTAATGACCGGAGTCCCCCAGGCAGAAAGACTAGGCAAAGCTGCTATCTACGTACGTATTGTCTTTTTTTGCTCAACGGTCTTGTGGCGCACACGTTTAAGCTTAAGTTAAAACAAACATTTACAAGAAATCGGGTGTGAAAACTACGGTGGGGATATAGCCTGTTCGGCTCCGAATACCCGGCAAGAGCTGGGCAAGACCTGTGGCCAGCTCTTGTGGCCAATTCTTGTCCGGCGATAGTGTCGAGAAACAACTGGGGAGGGGGGGGCACCGAATCTGAGCAGAGCGAACGAGCACTTCTCGGCTTCACTCGCTGCCAATCAAGTCGGGGCTCCTTCCTGAGCTGAATTAAAGCGGTAGCCGAAACTCGAACTCAAGGAATACTCTCAGTCTCCTTTGCCCGCCGATAAGACGAGCTGAAACGAGTGATCATGTCTGGATCTATCTCGATTTTCGATCAATCATGTGTCTCGTAGACTTCAAAATGCATGGGGGGCTGTTATCTTAACTGTGAAGAATTATAGGAAATACAATCTTATAATAATCAACTCACCGTATTATAAAAATCAGTACCTCAATCCAGAGTCCTAAGCTTTTTTTTCTTTTCATTGTTACTCTTTCGTTAAATACTCTCCTAAACTCATGATGTAAATTGATTGATCGACTGCAAAGTGCAGAGAAAAAGCAAATCCCCCCCTCCAAAAAAGGGGGGGGGGTGAGAAGTGATTGTTGGTTGGGGCAAGGATAATGATTGGATCTCGATCTCTCTTAGGCTGAGGAAACGTTGAATGGGTGTAACTCTTTTGGATGGATATTGGGACGACCGATCATTAAAAAAAACTAGTTCACGTTTTTAAGTCGTCCCTTGTCAACGCATTTCTTGGTCTTCAAAAGATAGCAAATTGCTTTAAAAAGACAATCGGGGATAGACGAGGAGGAGAAATTAAGGCGATCTTCATTGGCTCATGAGATGCCATAAATATTAGGAGCTAACAGGACATGATTGTGTAACTTATAAAACTATAATTATCAACAGACAATCTTAAACGGGTTTATTCTCCTTTCTTGCATCCCAACATTTTATTGAAGTCTTGATCTGGTGCTTTACTCCTTCATTTTCCCTCAGCTCTCCTGATCAAAATATATGATCTACCGATAGTGTTGTGAAAGCATGTATGATTCTTCGATCAGGAGGCACGTATTCTTGATCAGCCTCAGGGGGGAGAGGGTATGTTATTATTACTGTGTGTGCAAAGTCTCAGAGCTCTGGATATGCTACAGAATGAGGAGAGAATTAGCATTTTGGAATACCAACTCAAGAACCGATTTTTCCTTTCTTGTGGCTAGGTTAGAAAATAAGAACATAGCAACTGAAGTAATGCATAATTAGAAATAAGGGTTATGGTTCATATCTTTGATAACCATCAAAAGGTCATCTTTGGGGCATGATCAGCAAACCGAAATGACTCCCGATGAATCTTGATGAATGTTAACATCATTTGCGTAAATGATCAGGCCTAGCTTCAAATGTTTTAAATTGCATCACCAGCCAAAGAAAATATTGTGAGCTGGCAGCTGGAGCTGGCGATTCATGTTTGAAAAATAAACATAAAAAAATGAAAATCCAACCGCAGCTGTTGCTGATAATGGGACGGTGTCAAGACTCAGCTTAACACCCGCTTCTCTACATATCATTTCTCTATCTATAAAAAAAGGGTTATACATAGACTTCCGGGAAAGAATTGATGGTGATGCCTGTCCCGCTTTACGTAATACGTGTTTGTTGTTGTTGAAATCAAAGGAGTTGGATCCATATCAAGTGATAGGGTGAACTGGGGAACCAGCGCGCCAAACTACTAGCTTAAGACAAGCCTCACATTAATAGACTCGCGAATCGCTTCGGGAGTCGATTGAGGTGGGGCTTGTGTTAAGCTCGGCCAAAGTACTACGCCGGTTGAAGGGGATGCATGTTCAGGGGTTAGCATAGCTCAAGTCACATCAGATGTAAATCCTGAACTTGCACTTTGAATCCTTCATGGCTGAACCAAGAAGCTATCACCTCTCACCGCTCGTTCATCCAACGACTTTCGGTATTTGTGGCTGCGCTTTCTTCTTGCGTTAAAACATGTCTTAGTTGGGGAGCACAAGGGAGCACCTGTCGATTTGACAACGGATGTCAAGAATTTGAAACATTTTTTCCCTCTTCAAACACTCAGCCGTTGCTGAATCAGCACCCAAATTTCATGCATTAAAGTGTCTTGGTTTGGACGGACGACTGACTCATGGTATTGGGATGGATCTTTACCAATTATTCCCTCCATTGACATTAGCAGCGCCCGCGTTATTATATAGGTTCATTAACGGTTTAAGATAGGAAATTAAGCACCCCCTCCTTAGCAATTGTCTTCCTCGAACTACAGGAAAGGTATTTAGATAAAGAATTTCAGCAAGGGCAAGCAAACTGATCCCAAGCTACTATACCCGGGGATCTTGATTATGTTTCTTGGCTTCTGTTTTTTGTACTTCTTGGCCTGTAGGGCCACTCCCGCTCCAGGCGGACCATCAAAAGGAAAGGTAGCATGGCAACCATGTGAAGAAACCTTGGAATTTGACTCACATCTGCGTCCATTGGAATTTGGGAACCCATGGAATCATTCTGGATTTGAATATGCTGAAGTCATGAATGTTCCTTCCTTAGGACAACCTCAGAATAGTGACAAAAAGGGTATGTCAATTTGAATTTTGAGTGAGATGGAAAGATAGGAAGGATCAACTGTCATCTATCCATTCGCGATAGCAGAACTTCAACTCAGGACCCCACTGGTGGGATACTCTGTGTCTGGAAAAACTCAAGAACCTTTGGAAGGTGAAAAAATTTAATTTCTTGTTTTGATAGTTGAATTCTGTCAAAATTCTGCTTTTCTATAGCTTAATTTTGGTTCTTTGGTAGTATTGAACTGTTATCCATTCCAGGAAATCATTCAAATCAACAATGGAGAGCAAATAAACCTTGAAAAGCTATGTGATGTTCAAGACCAGTCAAATTTGCAACCAAGGGTTCCTGAAAGAAAAAGAAAATCCAGGATAGAAGAAACTTCACAAGAGGGTAAGCAGACAGGCTTCCTTATTCAATTGTTGGAATTAATAGGAGTCTATTGGTCAACCTCATTCCAAAAAAATCCCTCCAGAGTCAAAATTAGAATCCAATTTTCATCATATTGGAAATGTTCAATGTAAGCCCGGTTTAACTTGAACAAATAAAACTCTAAAAAAACTCAAGTGGATAGGAAATTCTGACACCAAAAAACAACCTAAATCATGGAAATGAGAAACTTTTGGCAGATAAATTGCAAACCAGTCTCAATAATAAAGAAGTTTTTGATAAGTTATTCTGTTGCTTGGAAAATTCATGTTTCCAATCCATCAAACATCCACTTCAACAAGCATTCATCAGCAAATTTTCAAAAAAGTATGAAGATCTTAAGATTAAGAGCATCAGTAAAAAACAGACTCCAAGTACAACTCATAAAAATTTTCAAGATCTTCCAGTTGTGAAGTGTAGCAACATTGTTCGTATTCTGGATGAACCAACTGGGAATTTCATTGGAAAAAGGATATTCCTTCATAGAATGAAACACTTGATCAATTGGCTTCTTTTCATCCAAACATCTAACCAGATAAAATTCTTTCCAACTCTGAATCAAATGGAAGAAATGGTTTCAAATATTGAATTAGTTAATTGGTTATTCAAAGAAACATTCTTCCCTGATTCCTGTCTCCCTGTTTTGGGAATTATACAAGAGGAAAATCACCTCATAGATGAAAGTGCATTCCAAGAAATTCAAATGATATTAATTCAATATCTATCCAAAAATCACCCCAAGGAGGCAGTGATCTCTATTTCGTGCTCCTTGATACTGCTCTGGTATAAAAAGAATACTTCTGTGATATCAAATGTCCCAGCATTATATGGTGAGGATATGTATATCTTCCTCATTGAAAATATGATATCACAAATAACTGAATCAAAAGAAAAATACCAGAAACAGTTCAGATTGATAATTCCAGAAACAATTGAAAAATTTCCTTTCCTTCAACAGGAAAGCTTTCCAAAACATCTCATTCCACAAAAGTATGTTGAATCTATCAGATGCATTGTGCTTCAAGATGCATGTTCAAGATTGAACCCGGAGTTCTATGTGTGATATCTGTGATAGTACTAGGGAGGTAGAGGGCAGGGCGGCGCCGACCGTCTCGCCTTGACCTCTAGTAGTAGCACTGCAGGCTTTCCTGGTTTGTTTCTTTCAAGATTCAGAATTGTACAGTGGGAGATGGGGTAATATGCTTGTTGCCAGTCATTAAGCAATAGATGGCCAACCGACTGAGCATTTCGCCCTTATTTTTCTAATCTTTACAGCCATGACTAGCATTCTCAACGTTTTAATGGGGGAACTGCTTGTTTTTGGCTCAGTTGGTTCTTGACAAATAATTGCGGCTATAGTAAAAAGATTATGTGTGAATGAAAATGATGATTGATTTGCAAAGAGGCACTCAGTAGAGACTAGAGTCGTAGACGCAAATATTTAAAATTTGCTTTGTTCGAGGGGGCAATCAATCTCCCAGCGCCTAATTTATTGTGAAGGGAAGTATTAAAATTATCGTCTTGCTATCAAAAAATAGTTGGATGCTCTATGGTGCAAAAGTGATTGGTTCCAACAGACGTGTCTCATGAGCAAGTTGAAGTGCTCATTTACTCATGTTTGAGAGAAGCTTGAGAAAATCTAGAGCCATGTTCACGGCTGGCCACGAAGAATTCCAAGGTTGATTTCCTGTACCAGACCACTTAATACTCATAGTGAGGTACAATCGTCCATGCATAACTCTCTGCTGGTTTTCTTCTAACAATGCACACATGAAAAGCCTTAGCAAAGCTCTGCGCATATGCTGCCCCTTTTCCCTCTCCAAAGTTGTATCTCCAGATAGTCCTAGAAGCGACTCGTGAGTCGTACACAGGGATTTGATAGTCACACCGACAACCATAGGGTCATTGGTGAGTGACTTTGCCGAGGGGCCTCGACACCGAGAGACTTCTATTCAAGCACCTCCTTCCTAGGTTAGATCGGCAGAAGGACTCCGCGGATTGCAGATACCACGGCACCTCCGCTGACGCTGAACTTGTGAAGTTTCTTCCCGCCATTAATGTTGCTGTGACCATCTGAGTTCTGCCCACAGCATGTTTCCTTCCCTTTCCTTCCTTCAAACGGATCCTCATCCAGACACATCACATGGTTCTGACAGCGGCGGCTAGCCCTCGGCCTATAGCCCTAGACCTCCTATACTCCCAACCGTAGATACAGCAAAACTAAGCCGGAATTATCGCTCAAACGCGTTACGGATTGGAGGACAACTTTTGCATGCGATTTCGCTCTCTGAGGAAAACCAGAATCCAACTCCTCGCATTCTCAGTCTGGAGACCGCTCAAATACACACTCTCTCAATCTGATCGCAGTCGGTGTCAGCATTCTAGTCCCAGTGACATAGTTTCATTACCCATTGCTGCTTGATTGTACCCACCCAGGGCAGCAGTCACCGGCCATCGCGAAGACACACATTTTAATTCCGGTTTCTACTCTGGCCATGGTTCGAGGACTCTCAAACCCTTTCTACATATATCATGCTTTCATCATATGTCATTTGGGCATTGTGAATATAAAACATGGACTGTGCCTATTTGGATCTCGACCTATAGAGCCATCTTTTTCATTACCTCGCGATAGTTTTGGTTGTGCAGGCGGTATTACGCAGCCGAGCTTGCCGAGATCAAACTGGGGCACAAGACGAGCAAGGTCTAAAAAGGCTGCCAGGGATGTCATACTGGAACAAAGTTATCCTTCAAACAAGAATGACGCACCATTTCGATCAATTCATTGGGGAGGACGCCAAGGAAGGTCCAAGCGTGCTCGTCCGCGTAGACCAAGATTAAGCGAGTCAATTCGATCTACTCAAACAGATGAGTGGAAGACTGTTTCGCCGGATATCGTAAAAAATATTGTATTGGAGATCAGCGACCGTTCTTATCCGACACGAAGACGCTCTCGCCTTTGGCAGAACTATCGATCACAATCAGTCACCGCCACACAGTCTCAAGGTGATAGAAAGTATATTGCCAAGGGTTTCGATCTCAATGCCCCTGCTGCCACGAGCGGGAAAGATGGAGATAATTCCCCTTCGTATTTTTCTTCAGGAATTCAGCCACCATCACTGTCTTCCCCGCCGCCTCAAAACGACGTCAATTCTGCTACCCAGACATCTGATCTTACTTCCGATCTCAGTACACACGAGAAGCCTAAAAGTAGCACCCATGCGGAATTTGATCTTAACGCCACTCCACAAATGAATGATGACGTTAAATTTGCTCCTAAGAGGGAGTTTGAACGACATGCTCTTTCGGACATGCAATCCGGTCTTAACTACCCTCGGGGGTTTGATTTGAATATCCCACTGGGCTCGGAAGGCAAACTTCCAGACAATCTTCGAAGCTATCGCAAGTTGCCAGGATCTTGGAACCAGGCGTCACATTTGCTTTCACCCATGGTTTTAACCAAACATCTAGAGTAATTTTTCCCTTCGCGTTTTCACCTACAAAAATTTGACAGCCCAAAATTTCTATGCAAATTTCTCAAAGATGATTTTGGGTGCTTGCAGAGCCACTCTTCTGATAACTGTTTGCAATTAGGCAAGCAATTCTTGCCCAACTTATTGGGGGTCAGACCTCCACCCATCACTCAGTCCCAAGAATACACACCTTTAGTTTCTACTTATTTTTTTTGTATTGTTTACAACATGTGTTTCTTCAATTATGCTTATTTAGATTATCTTCAACCCAGTGTTTCATTCTAAAATTTTCATGCTTATTTTTGACCAATTGGTTTCAAATCAATCTATCAACTTCCAGAAAACAAAAGTGTCTGTATCTTTTGAAATATAAACAAGTTATGCAGTCTGTAGCAAAGGAATATGAATGATTAGCATAATTGGAATGATATTGGAACAACCAAAACACACAAGAATCCTCAAGGAAAACTTCAAGTTCCACATGAGGGTAATTTTTTGATCCACTGTAAGGGGAAAGTTAAAGACAAAATTGAAGGTGAAAAAGGAGCACTCATATGGTTACAGTGTTCAAAATTGATTATCTAAATTTCTACTTAACACTACTTACCAATACACTTTGTGATTTTGGCTGGGACCTTTCAATAAAAGTGTTAATTATTATGACAGGTCCCTGCCCAATTTTGCCTTTTATTCTTATATATTTTTTTACTAACAGCTCCATATTCAAGTTTGAACACCACAGATGAGCACAGATGTGTGAAAGTAGGAATACATCATTAATTGAAAGTAATTAATCATCAGAAGTTGATTAAACAAAGTAGTTGGAGTTGTCTGTTCAAGCTTGAAGCTTGTGTAGTCAGACAAGGATACAATTCAAGACTGATGACAAGTCGACACATTGACAATGATGCCAGTCACCAGTGTACAACATGTTAAATAGTTGAATGATGGAGCGATGAGTGCATCATAAGATCAATCTTTCAAGTCCCCCATGTGCAAGTGTCTGTCTTTCAGCAGAATTCCGATGATGGAAGTCCGCAAGTCAGCGTGTCACTAGGCTCACACGCACATCGGTATGTTGACATCCGAGTCCGACACGCACGCGTCTTTACAGACTCGGCTGAGGCTACGGCTACGCGTTTGCCCAGACGCGCTGATTGATTTATCAATGTTCCGGGGTGCGGAGTTCTGAGTTAGGCAATCGCAACACCAGTCCTTCTACATACAACATCACCATTCACTCGAACCTATCCAGATATTGAGAGCGACTTCCTTCGCCGGGTAAAACTATCCTCTTCAACTTGTTCAACCCCGTCTATACCGTCCACAATAGCAACGCGCAGGATTGGCTTCTTGATTTCGCTGGCAAGTGCAATTCATCATGATGTATCAAATCCCTCCAAGTGTGTCATCGAACCAGATTGTATAGAACTGACCTTTGTTGATACGATGGTGAATTGCAATTGGCAGCTTCCGAAGCTTCATCGATTCCAAGAGCTAAATATCGCCAAATCTAACTTGATAAAATTTTAATTCCATCGGGTCACATCGGTCCGCGGGGTCAAGGAACTTGTCGATCATCCTACCGTGCTCAGCTCAATATTAAACGGATCGATATTTTCATTTCCTACCTCGCCAAGTCGCTTGTTCCGCGAGTTGGTGACTATGTCCGGAAGCTTCGCGGACCCTCATGCCTTTCGGCTGTCTTTGATGTTTGTAATCTACCCATCTGGCTTGTTTTCATGGTCGTCGAGCTGAAGCCACTTTGATCGGAAACCTTCTGAAGTCTCGGCCAACCGTTTTTCTTAGTGACTGCAATCTCGCAGCTCCTCACTTGGTCCCTCACATTCATTGCCCAATGCCTGGCCGAATCTCGATATCATTCATCCCGTGGCTCAGACGGTGTTAAGCCAACAGGTACGCCGATTGGGATTGGCTGGTTTGGAGTATTTTACCAGCTCTTTATTGTTTATCGAGTCCTCAGCAGCGTGGGTTGTGAGTCAGAGTACCAAGATCGTGGACAGCTCGCAACATTGGTGGCTCTTAATGTCGTTATAGGAGTTCTATGCAGCAATTCGGCTATTCACGACCATCATGACATTGCATTAAATTTATATGGGTATGGATGGATGATTTTGTCCAGCCTCAACGTGAGTCCAAATCTTTCTTTTTTCATACCAGATCCTATTAAGACCGAAAAAATACCTGGAGGAATCGCTCACAGTTCCTTTCCCTCTCAACTCCGGCCAATCGCAGCTGGCATGGCTACTTTATTTCACATCATCAGATCAATCACGGCTTTTGAAGTTGCTGAATCCAAGCTCCCAGCGAAAACAACTCATCCGTTCCAGCATCAATCTCCGTCGCTCTGCTTCATATTCCAGTCCCAATCTACCAAACATTGCATCTGAATCTGCGGGACATTATGCTGGATCTCATTTGATTACATTGGGGCCGAATCAAGGACCGGAGTCGGGTGCCAATTTACACAATGAAAAGCTTGCGAACGACGTGACTTCTGCCCTGTTATCCTCCAATCACCCATACTTACCAGAGGGTTACGGCGATCATGACCCTGATAGAATGTTCCCAAACCAGCAGCATGGAAACCCCACAACCAGCAATGTCAATCCATCGTCTCAAATGCAGCACATCCCGCAATATAACCAACCAAGCGTGCAATTTCAGGATCTAAATTCCTATACTCGGCCTCATGAACAGATCAATAACCAGTCAGCCCAACATCAACAGTCCAACTTTCATTCAAGGCGTGTGGAACCGTCATCAAATATCCACCAGACCAACGTGCAACAATACTCAGAGGCTTCCGAGTCTCGGGACCCAGGATCATTTCTTCCAGCTTTGACGGACTTCTCAAGCATCCCACTCATTGATAGGACACTTTTGAGTCAAGCTTATCGACAAGAGGAACTCAGAAGTGTGACAAATACCGAGAGCATGACTCCATCATCGCCTGTCTCGTCCAAGCCAGTCGAGTTGATTAAGAAGGCCAAAGCGTTGTATACATGTAAGCAGTATGAAAATAACTCTAGAAATCGTTCTAGATTGTTGCGTTGCTATCACCCGGCTAAAAACATTTTCATCAACAAAAACCAATCTTCCATTTACAGATAAAGCTTCACCCACCGATCCCAATGAGATCGGCTTCGAAAAAGGTGAAATATTGGAGATCTTGAATCACAGTGGTACGCTACTTTGCCATATAAATAGTTCCGTCATTTCAAAAGCCTAGCTGACTCGATTCATTCATACATTCAGGTAAATGGTGGCAAGCAAGACGGACGACAGGCGAATCTGGAATTGTGCCTTCCAATTACTTCCAGATGCTACCTAATTCATAAATCTGAAGGTGACCTCCAGACCCCCAAGCCTTGGCATTGATTTTAATTTGATTCACGAACACACTTGCATAGTTTTGATTTGATCAGTCATCATCTTTGTTTTTTAGGTGACATTTGGTTTTCTTGTCATCTGTGCAAACTGTAAAATTCTATATAATCTGTGTACTCTGCATTCCTATCTTGAATATCTTTCATCCAGCAATATTCCCAATCACGCAAAGAAACTCTAGTTGTCAAATCAGTTGGAATTTTTTCCCTTTTTCTTTCTTGTTGTCTTTCCTCTTGGCCATTTATTTGGATTTAATTGTTAGGTGAGCTTGATTTTGAATGTAACCAACAAACTAATGAAAGGAATGGCAAGCAAGAGCTTTCATGAAGAAAGAAACATGATTTTGTGTGCAAACCTATAACTAAATGTTATGAGTAGGTATAACACCTGCCTATCAGGAATCAATCTTCTTGACAACAACTGGTTGCCTTAAAAAACCTTCACAAAAAGTGAGAAACAATAAATTCTAGACACTTACTTACTGGGGACTGATCAACACAGCCAGCAAGCAAAATCTGACCATGGAGATACTTTGCATGAAGTAACTTTGTCTCCTGGATGAGGAAGTATCCTCCTCAGTGCCTGCTGTTGGGACAGAAGCCCATCTGACAAGCTGACACAATGTCTTATAGTTGGGGTTGAGAGGAAACTCCCATTAACAAGCAGACACAGTTTGTTCTGGCTGGGGCAGAACCTTTTCCAAAAAGCAGATAGTGCCTACTCATTGGGAAGGAGTCCACATCCACTGATGGACACATAAGCAGAACAATTCATAAAATTTAGACACATATCGATTTATGCAACCAATTTAAAAAATTTAGAAGCAGATCAAGTGGGGTAATTAGGATGAAGGATATTCAATTTTATAGGGTTCTGTCACATTTGTGTAAATTCCAAGAATCCATCCCTCCATTCATTATCATATTGATATTGTCCAAAAGAAAGACTTTTAAACCCCATAAATTCTTAAAAGAACAATGAGGGTGCGTAATCCACCCAATTAATACTTTGTAGGCTTGTTTTTATGGGTCATAAAAATCTGACAACCTGTAGCAAGTTCAAAGCTGATATGCTCAGTTGTCTTGTAGCACTGAGCTCATCTTTTTAAGTTAATTTTAGAAAAGCAGAAGCAGATCAAGAGTAAGAGCAACTCCACTGCGGGCCATAAATCAGGGTGGTAGGTGGAATTTACGGACTCGGCATGACCCACCGCAGTTGCTAAAATCTAGCAGTCTGTAAAAATTTCCTTGCCAGTCCTCACATGTAGGTACTCCTGGGGACTCACCTACGGCCTACAAACAACACTTTCACACCACAACAATATGTGAAACCCAACCCTCACACACCACACCACCCCTGGCAGCACATCTGTCATCAATTTTTACAAACCACTCCTCCAAGTTGTGGTGTATGCCACAGCAGTTTGAGACTGTAAAACTGGCTGCGTGGACCCAATCATCAAGATTTTATGGCCTGGAAGTAGGAGCAGAGGTGGAGTTGCTCTAAGTTAGCAAGCTCACAAGGGAAAATTTTTGAGTCTTTATAAACACACCCATCCTCCATTGTGCATGCACACACACCACCAAAAAGGGGTGTTCAGCCAAAACAAAAACCTTTTTTGGGCATGTTTTCTGCCCACCAAAAAAAGGACAGGTAGTAGCACCCACACTTTCTTTTGCATGACTCCCCACACAACAACACTGTACCATTCTCAATATCCATGAGGAATGCCTCCCAGCCTTACCTCATCACTCATCATGCAAGCCCATAATTTTCAATATAAAACAGTTCTAACACTTTCTATCCCTCCATCTGTACCAAACCCTCACCTGTCACCTGATACCAGCTGAAGATGATAAACACCAAAAGCTGTAATTTTCTTCAAGAATAACCACCTTTCATCGAAAACTGAAATAATCAAATTAAATATGCTAACCAAAACCACATGACCTATCTTATGCCATCTTTTTTATGTTTTCACCCTTTCCCAATGTGAAAAATCTGACAACTCCTCACTATGGGAAAATTTTACCAAACTGGTGTCAGTTGACATGTGAACATAGCCCCAAGAGCCTGTTTCCTCCCAACTTAACTTATGTGATACCGAAAAGAATTAAAATTCAACTATATCTATACATTTTCCATGTAGTGTGAACAGTAACTGTGCATTCAAGTATGACTTGAGTTTTGATTCAGTAACACCCAAGTAAACTCCCAACTTGCAAGAGAGTTTCTGCATGTCAACTGGTAGCATTTTCTTGAGATTTACTCAGTGCCTGCTTCAGCTTCTTTGTCAATACTCAAAGTGTACATGGTTAATTCCCACTCCAAAATTAATGTTTCAGTCATTTGTCACACATGCAAATATGTCTTGATTGATTTTGAAGCCCCTGATGTCAGTCCTCAGACTCCTCAGGTTTTGCCACTTCTTTTACTAATCTAACTCTGCAGTTTTGTCTGTTGAAGTTATCTTCTGAATGAAATTATCTTCTGAATTTAGGAAATTTAAATGCTAAATTCAAGGCGTTTATCAACAAGATTTCAGAAAATTGAGTTTTGTGAAAAATCAGTCCCACTTTCACATTTTTCAAAAATTTGTTAATAAATACCTTGAAATTGAATACCAGCCAGCTTACTCCAGAGGTCCTTACCTTAATGAGTCTTTAAAAAGAGGAAATCCTTACTCTTTTCAAAACCAAAGCTGAAAAGTTCCTTGTTGAAAAATATAATACACCCAACAAAGACAACAGGTCACCCAAAAAAAGTATCAGCAAGAGCCTCTTCAAGAAAAAGAAACAAAAGATTTTCTTTGCTCAATGATGAAATCGGCCAGTACTTGCATTCTGAATGCAAAGAAGAAGGTTATAAACCTCTGGTGTTCTGGAAAGCAAACAAGGAACAGTTTCCAACTCTCTCTAATATGGCTAGAACATTTCTACCAGCCTTGAGTGCACCATGTGAGCGAGTGTTCTTGGTTGGCCGACATATTCAAACATACACTCGTAACCGGATGTCACTCAACACCTTGGAATCACTGATATGCTTGAAAGACTGGGTTAATCAGGACATTGTTGATGTCAATGATATAACTACCTAACAATCCTCTTTGTCATTGACTTTCTTTTCTTGACTGGTCCTTTTCTCTCAAAATTAATCCTGCTAAAAATCTTATCTGAACAGTTGATTACAATACCACCTTGCTCTTCAATTTCCACTTTTGTTTCCATGTTCTCTCACATACATGCACCAGTCAGAACACAATTGTTGATTCCAGTATTTCTTTTCCTGTCTTCTCACATACATACATACAAAACATGGAATGAGTAGTCTCAGAGAGCTGCTTGTCTGCTCTGAGAGTTGGGCATCTGAGCTCCCCATCCCAGCTAATAGCTTGTACCCGCTGGATACCAGGTATGCGCACACCACATCTGACACCCAACCCAACCCGGCATCCGGTCGGGTATTGCCGGGTATCCCAGGTCCGGATCATATCCTTAGCAGGTACCTGCCAAAAGGTGCAGAAGTGCAATCTCTAATTGGTATTGTCTTGTATTGTTCTTATTTTGTGCCTGATACCTGGTATCAGTATCTTCTTTGTTGGTGAGAAAATCCACTGTCTTGGATTCAGATTTACAAATGCAAAAAAAGTGTCTTTGCTTTTTTTATTTTTCTTCAATATGGCCAAATATCATGTGTATCAAAGACGTTTTTTGTGGGATCATCCCTCTGAGACAATACAGAATACATGTCTCACTTTCCAAAGACAATACATGTGTATTGTCTCAGGAAAGTGAGACAACACAAATACAGTATTTTTGGGTATCCAAATTCTGAGATGATACAAATAAGCGCCTGATGCCGTCTTGTCTCATCTTGTCTCTGTTTCAGTGTTGCACCCAGCTTGCTGGGGTGATACCAGTCAAAGGTGCCATGCTTTGGTAGATTGGCAGGTGTTCCTGGACGTGCAACCATCAAAAATGTGGCAATCTCAGCTCTACTAACCAATTATCCTTTCTGTTCAAACTCATACAAGCCAGATCATGGTTGATAATATCTACAAATCCTTGCTCAATGTGCCCTTTGTGGGATGATATTAAGCTTGTTCTTTGTTGTATCTATTAATGTCAAATAGTTTCCCTCTGTAACGATTTCCCCTCAAAATTAAAATATAATAAGCTAGTAAGCTCAGGCTTGTCATTTTTTCTGGAAAGTGTAGTCCATCTGTTTCCATATATTCACAAACATTTTCACTTTTTTTATGACTAGAAGGTTCCCGGCTGGCTCTGAAGAAGAAATCTGAGATGTGATGAGGAATTAATGAGATGTTTTCACATGAAATGTTTGGCAGGAGGTTGGATTTATAAAAAAAAGTGGAATCACTTCTGTTTCCTTTTGAGTCTTGACAAAAAAACATCCCTCCTTTTCACATTTGTGTTCATGAAACTGTGCCATATCTGTCTTCTCTTGTAATACCAGCCTATTTTCTTAGCTTGTTGGCATTGATTTTTTGGTCTTTTATCCTGCTTTATTTCCTTATGCCACACAATATTGACTTACATCGAGCGAAGATTATATCGACAACGTGGCCGAGCGGTTAAGGCGATTGACTAGAATCAGCTTCTAAGACTCTCGTCTAACATCAATTGGGATTTTCCCGCGTAGGTTCAAATCCTGCCGTTGTCGCGAACTCTTTTGCCATTCCATAGTTCTTTTTTTGTTGGCGTCTTGTTTTTACGAGGCTATGAAGGCGTGATATAACAACTGTTTGTCCGGTTTTCCAAATCGGTTTTGGAATATCAGAGCGGAAGTTGGAATGATTGCTATTCCTGTTGAGATGATGATCGCTAGATGAAGGGGAGAATGAAAGTTTTTTATCCCGGAAACAGTGTCTTCAAGGTACTGGCTTCATCCGGACCCTCCCAGCTCCACTACAATCGAAGTCCCGGCTCAGCACAGAACCTTAAACAAATGTATCTTCATTGTCTGATTTTTTTTTGTCTTTTCACGTCAACACGCACAAGACCACACACAAAGCACAGGGGCAACAATCCATGTATTTACAAGCAAGAGGGTCAAAAAGAGGGCTTTTTTCCCGCCTTCTTATCAGTCGGCCCTGCTAACCAAACCAAGAGAAACATTAACACAAACAAGCAAAAGCAGAGATAGAAGATGTGTAAGATGGAGTGAGAGGAGTTAAAACTGACGATTCGTCCAAAGTAATGTCGACCGATCTGGGTTTGACGGGTTCATTTCCAACTCGCCCAGATGCCCCGTTTTTGATCGACTTGTGGCGGACTTGGGGTGAGTTGAGGCGGATCAAGAGGAGCGGGAGCAGAAGAGTTTGACATAGATTAGCAGCAGCAGCAGGAAGCGGTGACCCTTTAACTTCAGGAGCTTCGTTGAGGACCGGAGTATTAATGGGATGGTCTTGGGTAGATGGTCTTGGGTAGAAAAGCGAGCAAGACTGGTGAATGAACTGAATAGTCTGTTTAATCTGCTTGACTTGATCTTCATATGAGGCCGTCTTCATGTGCTTGAGCTCGTCTTGAATGAACTGTCGGAGGTCGATTTTCCGACCTTGGAAGCCGACGATCTGGCTCCAATTTGCCATCCTCCTGTCTTTATTCGGCGAGACGGTCCTTGAGCGTCCGGGGAGGGCCGATGCATTGTTAAGTCAGTACACTGTGTCGCTGTAACAAAGCTCGGTCCGTACTCCAGTACATCCTCTGCTACGGACACGCTGCGTATAGGATCGATAGAGATTTCAGTGCCGATGGCTTCAAAGGTGGCCGATTACCCGCCCGTCACTTGGATCCCGGCCTCTGCAAAAACATTGATAGTTCATAGATCAGGTGGAATATTTCCCACCAGCACCTGAGCCTGCCGGTCGAGCTTATCGTGAATTGAGGCATGCTATTGCTATGCGAACAGAGTACCTGATTAACATCAGAATAGATCAGAATACACAAGTTGGGGTCAGTCTAAGGCATGCCGGGTTGTGAGAAAGTTTTATTCCTTGTCAGTTGGTTTCCCATTCTGAAAAGATGGACTGAGTTGGTCCACAATTCACCAAGCTCTTCCTTTGAGGACAGTCAAAATCTAGCCAATGGTCAACTCTCTAGTCCTTTAAGGATGGGCTTGCTAGTCCATAAGTCATACAACTTCATTCCCTCCTGAAGATACCTCAAGAGAGCCAGAAAACAGTGGAGTCAGATCCAACATCTATAAAGTGCAAACAGGTTGTATGCCACCAATGGTCTGAAGCAATATAGTATTGATAGCTCCCAGAAGTTGGGATATGGGTTGGTTCAGAAGCTCAACAAAATCAGGACCAAGTGGGAATCAGGGCTGGTCTCATATTTCTCAACAACTGATCAGAATTTTGATCATTATAGATGTCTGTGACAGGGATGAAGATGAAGTATATTTTCCAGTTTATGTATCAAAAATAGATAAAAGGTTTGACTGAAACCACGAAGAAACAAAAAAGAAAAAATAATGGAAGTCCAAATCTTTTTCCTTTTTCTACCTTTAAATTTTAGTTTTGGACTAGAAGTACTGATCCAAAAGATATTTTCCCTAATTCCTATCTAATCTGAAATAACTGAATTTTCTTTTATTTTTGCTCAATGAGTGAATCATAAATTTTGAAAATAAGTTTTCATCTGAGAAAAGGTTACTCCAGTGATCTGGATAGTGAATCTTGAACCAGATGCCAAGGAAAGCAATGCAAATACTTGGTAGCATAGCATATGATCTGGATTCACTGAAGTAGTAGATTAAGATAACCTGGATGTCCCCAAACTTTGATATGTCAAGTGGCATATCTACTGTTCCGACTGTTCCAAAAACGGGAAGGCCCTTCTCTGGTAGAAAGAAAACTTGATAAACCCAATTTAACAAATAATTCTTTGCTTCTTCCAATGAAATTTGCTTTTCAACTTTCAATTTGGGTGAAACATCTGCTATCAAGCAACTTTGACAAAGGAGCAAGTATGAGAGGAGCGACTTGGCTCTTGTTGAAATGTCTGAAGGTTTTATCTTTTCCTTGTATCTATGAGAGATTTTTATTGATCCATTGTCTAAAACAGAATTTTCCTGTTTTTTATCAAAAACCAAATACACTGGGATAGATTTGAAATGCATGGTGTAAGTCTCTGGTTTGATTCTTGTATACAGGTTTTTAATTATTTGGATTATATCTCTGATATCTTTCTCAAATTCTTCCATAAAGATGAGCATATCTCGAATTCTCGCTGCTTATTCCAAGGCTCAATCACAGAGTTGGTCAACATGATTGCTTTTTAAGCTGTATTGTTGCATTGTCGAGGTTGGAAAAATCGGTTGTGTCTTGGCGTGTTGTTTGTTGGCTGTAGCCGTCCCGGCAAGCCTCTCTCATCTGCGTAAGCTACACCATTGGGGGCAGGTTTGGTACGAAGTGAGCAATAATTCAACAATAGAATAAACTGCCCATAACCTAACACAACAATTGGTAGTTATGCCTATGCTATGGGCACAGCCAAAGCGTTCCAGTGTTGAGCCTGAAATCTAAGCTTGATCAGATCATGGTGGAACAGGAAATGATGGCCTCTTGGCAGCGGTGGGCCGCTACGCTATGCTACGCTTTTGGCCCAAAAAGCGTAGCATAGCGGCGCTTTTTTTCATCCAAAAACCGTAGTGTTGGCGGTTTTTTAGCGGTTTTTCGCTACGCTACGCTGCGCTACAGCGCTTTTAGCGGAAAAAGCGGCCAAAAACCGCTAAAAACCGCTGTAGCGCAGCGTAGTGGGCCCTATGTTGCGGCCCACACGTGTAGCGTTAGCGGTGTCGTGGTGGAATTCCGCTACGCTACGCTAATCGCTAACAGCGATTCCGCTGCGTTACCCTACACTAACCGCTACGGTTAGTGTAGCGGCCCACCGTTGCTCTTGGCCAACCAAGAAAAAACGCACTGCTTTCTATGCCCTTTGATTTTGCAGCGCCTTTCAATCCAATTTCTTTCCATGAGACATCATGTCTGACAAACCCCATTGAAACATCACATCTCACAAACCACATTAATCTCATTTTATGACAGCAAATATTGGGAAAATTGGATCCAGTCTTGTGTCTCACAAGCAATTTCTGTGCAATGTTGAACTGTGACTGAGATTGATATGCGAATTGATTACATCCATTGTCAGTTGATATTGTTAGAAAAGATTTCACTAGAAAGGCTAAACCGGGAGGCAAGTGTTGATGTCTAAGCTCAAGCTCCTGAACTCACTTAAACCTTAGCCTATTTATTCTCCCTCAATATTGAAATCATGATTTCATCTCGCTCAAGCCTTTTCAATTACATCATTACACTCAAACCTTCTGAATCTCTTGCGCAGTCATCATTCATCATCTTGTATAATCCTCTTTCCTTTTTCCTTATGATATCCTCTTGTGTGCTTCAATTGATTCCTCCCTTCCTGTCCTCAGGAAGAAACTCTCAATCAATTCCTCATTTGCACACATCCTTGATCTCATCAACATACTTGACTCTTCTCCCCTCCCTTAATCAGATAATCATCATTTTGTCTGATCTTGTCATTCCTGTTATACAAACATTATCACCTATTGAACAACATCCACCCACATTGCTCTTATCCCTTCTATTCACCTAAACTTGTTGATCTTCACCTTCCTGAAATCTCTACTATGTAGGTCGCCATTATGGTTCTTCTCTTGTTTACGGTTTGTGTATTAATTACACTCTTTTGTTAGAACTCTTTCCTCTTTTCATTCTCATTGCCTTATAATGCATTGTTGTTCTTATCACTTGTCATCTAATGCTTTTAGGTGATTATAGTTTTCATTTCTTTCTTTTGCTTCTTTTTGTATTTCCTTAACTGGTATTAATGAAATACCTCTTTTAGTCTATCCATTAACAGCAAGAAAACCAATAACTCAACTTTTCAAAAACATCAAGGTATCCATGCAAGACTAAGCACTTAGATCCCCAGTCACCATGTCTAGATTTTTGACAAAATTTCTGTGCCTATTCAATCTCTTTCACCTCATCACACTTTCCCTGAGCTTCAGTGCAGCTCCACCACTAGCAGGAATTCTGGCAAGCAGGTGATGTATTTTTGAAGGAACTCAGAGAACCTTTTAATCAAGAAGGATTCAGTTCTGAATTGCATGCAGTATACCCTGATCACATATGGAACTAAAGTGGAGCTGATAATATTATGTGGCAATCAGGTGATGGTGCTTTGGATAAAATCAAAGGGCCTTTTGTACTGGAAATAGCTGGTTCAGACCCACATTCAGTAGATTACTGAAACATGCTGGGTTACAGTTGCAGATGGCAAAAACCAACCCTGGATTTCAAGGGTGTCCGAAATTTTGAGCAAAAAAAATAGATTTTTTTTGTATTTACAGGGCTTTTTAGCCCTTTTGAGCCTACATAACTCTGAAATATTACCTCTGAATATTGTATAACCACTCAAAATAGGTGCTACAGGTGCTTTAAGAGGCATAAGGCCATGAATAAGCCTAACTTAAACCCATAGTTATGGGTTTAAGTATGGCTTTTGGCAGGCATGTCCGAATACATGCTTGTCATACAAATAAAAAAAAAGAACCGCTTGAGTAGAACCTTAGCGGTTACAATTTTGAACTCTACACATCTGTAGGAGTTCAAAATTGTAATAAAAATTAGTATTGAGGCATATGCCCCCCGGGGCATAGGCCCCGCGTGTCCATTTTGGATTTTGCGGGCGGGGCATGGTCGGTCTATGCCATCCGCAACTGTAATTGGCTATAATTTACCCTCCAGATTCAAAAATTGAACCAAAATTCATACATAAAGCTCCCTAATCTGGAAATATTTCCCTCCATGTATTGGCCATCCTTTCAAAATTGATACACACACAAGACACCATTCCAACAAAACCACATGAACCACAAAAATGGAAATGTTCTGGTATTTGAGAATAGTCCTGGTATCAAAAAAAGCAAAATATAATTAAATTATTATATTGTAATATGGAAAAAAGAAGTTATGAGTTGTATGAAACATCCCCATCAGCAATTGTGTATTGAAAAACTTTCCAAAATATGTGAAGTTTTCCAGATGAAGATTAAAAGTGAAAAATTAGCTTTAGCCATTGGACATGAAAGATTTGAAAACCTTCCAGTTGTGAAATTTGGAAATCAGGCCAGGCTTCTGAATCAAACTGATGCTTTTTATTGACACAACCAACCAGATGAGATCTTACCCAAGCTTAAGTCAACAGGATCATGTAGATTAAAATAATGCATTAATGGATTGGTTATTCAAAGGATCATTTTTACCTGATTCAAACATGTCTTGGGAATCATTGTACAGGAAAATTACTTCAAAGACAAAAGTGCCTTCCAAGATGTACAACAGATTTTGATAGACAATTTATCAAAAAAAGTGTTTAAAAGAGGAGACACTTTCAACTGCTTTATCCTTAACCTTGCTTTGTTATATTAAAAATGGTCATTGTTTATTCATTTTCTCCAAAATATCCTATGATGATTTAGCATTTACATTTTTCATTGACAATATGATATGGAAAGCATGCTTACTGAAAGAAAATTTACAGGAGAATATGGCATCACAGATCCCAAAACAAATCAAAGATTTTTGGCTATTCAACAAGGAAATATTTCCACATAATATTATTCCAAAAAATATGCTTACTCATTTGAAGCATTTGATATAGACACATGTCATATAATCCAAATTACAGAGAGTATCTACAGATACACTTCAAAAGAAATTTACATTTCCCACTTTGAAGACCTTCCAGTTTATCTGCTATTTGATAAAAAATATAAACAGGCACACCTCAATAGTGGATCAATCAAAATTTCCCATAGAATTGAAGAAAGGACATGGCTTCCAGATATGATGCAGAAAGTCAGGTCTCTCATCTCATATTTGATTGGCTGCCACATTTCTTTAATGGAAGATATTTTTTACTTGGATCAGAGGTTCATGATGATAAAACTTTCTTGGAAGAATAAAAAAAACATCTGTTGGAATTTCAACTTCTTACTCATTCCTCATTCCCTTTGTTCTTGTTTTCTCCATCTCTTACTATGAATCTTGGTTCAAATTAACTCAAGGATCTACTCCCTCATTGCCTGAAGTATTCTCCTCTATTATAGATGGTCAATTGAAATCCGGATATGCACACGGATGCGGATATCCGCTGACAATTTCAGCGGAAACAGGCATCCGCATCCGCTAGCGGGTATCCGCTGGCCCTGGCGGGTATCTGCGGATACCCGCCCTTTACTGGTGGGCAAACGCGGGCGAGGGGGATTTTTTTGCAAAAAATGTAAAGAAAAAAAACCCTGCCCCCCTCAGCCTAGAGGGGCAAGGCCACACTGTCAGGAGGAACCCCTCCCGACAAGCATCTACATGCCAGCTCGTCGGGAGGGTTCCTCCCGGAGAGCTGGATTTTAAACCAGCTCGTCGGGAGGGGTTCCTCCCGGAGAGCTGGATTTTAAACCAGCTTGTCGGGAGGGGTTCCTCCCGGAGAGCTGGATTTTAGACCAGCTCGTTGGGAGGAGTCCCTCCCAACGAGCTGCTATGTACATCAGCGCTTCGGGAGGGGTTCCTCCCAACGAGCTGGATTTTAAACCAGCTCGTCGGGAGGGGTTCCTCCCGGCGAGCTAGATTTTAAACCAGCTCGTTGGGAGGAGTCCCCCCCGACGAGCTGGATTTTAAACCAGCTCGCTGGGAGGAGTCCCTCCCGACGAGCTGGATTTTAAACCAGCTCGTTGGGAGGAGTCCCTCCCGACGAGCTGGTCTGTGTACCAGCTTGTCGGGAGGGGTTCCTCCCCACGAGCTGGTCTGTGTACCAGCTTGCTGGGTGGAATCCCTCCCCGGCGAGCTGGATTGTGTACCAGCTTGCCGGGAGGGATTCCTCCCGGCAATATGGAAGGGGGGCCAGTTGGTTTTTCTCCTTTTTTTGAAAAAAAAAACATTTCTTTACCTCTTGGCACCGGGTATCCCTTGGGATACCCGGATATCCGCCATGATTTGGGGCGGAAAAGGACATCCGCACCCGCTGGTGGGTATCCGCTGGCACCGGCGGGTATCCGCCAGCGGATAACAGATATCCGCAACGGATATCCATCGACCATCTCTGACTGACACAAATCCTGTTATGCTGAATTTTTGAGCTGATGCGCGAATGAAAAGAAGAATGTGAGAAAAGGGCCAAGAAGGAGAACATTCCTTTTTGGGAGAGGCTCATGAAAAAAAAAATGAAAGAATCAATATATTTTATTACTTTAAGCTAGAGCAGTTTAAATAGAATAAATACCAGGTGAAAAATGTGGCAGAGAAGAAATTGAATAAGGCATGATTTTGAATGAAAACTGAGAGGAGGAAATATGTGAGTTCATTCAAGAAATAACCATACAATCCTTCTCAGTCTCTTTTAGTCAAGCCAGAAAATTAATCATGAGAAAACGTACACTCAACCACAAGTATTCAAGAGTTGTTAATTCTAAACAATCTGTTTTTATGAATCAACCAAATTTAGCAAAAAGAAGAAGGGGGGCCGGGGCTTTGCATTTTCGGGGTCTGGGGTTCGGGCTGAGCCTCATGCCGCGTCCCGAGCCCCAGACCACTCCCTTAGGTGCACATACCCGATCGACCGGTTCACGCCGTTCGGGGGTCCGCCCAGCCCTATGCCGTTCAAGTCACGACCATTGAAAAGGAAAAAAAAAAGATGCTGCAACCCACAATACAAAAAACTTCCGCCACGAATTTCTTATCCTCACTCATCCTCAGGCTTACTGCACATAACATGACAGACCCATCTTCAAGCTCGTCTCGGAAACGAACCCGAAAGCCTGGTCGGGCATCGTCGAATTGGAAAACGCTCCAAACGGTAGGTGATTTTTTCTTCGCTCGCATTAACGGTACAGCAGCAGCATACTGAGTCAAAGTTTTAGGCGCTTCCACAAGTACCAGCAGCGGTGAAAGCAAGGACCCTAGAAAAGAAGAAAAACCGAAATCAAACGATCCATTCCTCCCGTACCCAAGCCTCCACCTCCACCACTCCATCAATAACAACTAGTTTGACATCCCAGAAGCTCCTCGATATCTTGCAAAAGAATCCTACCCAACGGGCCACAAAAAAACAAACAGAGTACGCAGAATTACGTGATTCGATATGAGGCGTCTGATTGTTTGGCTACTAAAACAGTCGCTTTGATCTCGATTGAAAGAGTAGGAAAGTATCTGGCGATCGACTGCGAGATGGTTGGCGTAGGACCGCGAGGAAATGAACAGAGCGCCCTCGCAAGGGTGAGTATTGTCAACTACTATGGCAACGTCGTTCTCGATACCTACGTTCAACCCAAGGAGAAGGTCACCGATTATCGCACTTGGGTCAGTGGCATCAAACCTGAACATTTGCATAATGGTTCGTTACAACCTTCGCCTCCTCCTTTATTTCTTCTTGATTTTTTTTTTTCATGCTCATATTCTTCGGTTCCTCAAAGCCAGTACTTTTGAAGATGTCACCCGCAAGGTCGCCGACTTGATTCACGACAAAATCTTAATAGGCCATGCGATTTCAAACGATCTTCAGGTAATTTCACTCCCACTCATTCCAGCCACCCTGATTTTTTCATTCTCTGAAACTTCTTTTTTTCATGTTTCTCTCCTTCTCTTTCAATTGTTTTGTCAAGGCTTTACTCTTGACCCATCCACGACAATTGATTCGAGACACGTCGACCTACCAACCGCTGAGACAACTAGCCAAGACGAAGTTCCCGAGTCTAAAGAAACTGACATTACTTCTGTTAGATCTTGAAATCCAGAAAGATTCACATTGCTCAGTATGTTTCTTTCTTCCATTCCCTTTCCATCCCGGCCATCTCAACCCCCAAACACCTCTAAAAATCTCGATGTTTACTTGATTGATGTGTTTATAAAGGTCGATGATGCCCGAGCCACGCTTGCGATTTATCGGACACAGAAGGACCAATGGGAGGCTCTTGTGAAGAAAGAACAAGCGCGCCAGCTTCAGGCACGTCCTGCGACATAATACCAGAGCAATTTGCGGGCATCAACCATCACTGCCTAAATGTCATCTGCACTCCGATGTATCTTTTATCACTCCTCCCACTCCTCATTCAAATCATCCCACACCCTTCGGCTTCCCCGCTCAACGTGCGCTCAACATCATCCAAACCCGTGGGGTCGTGACACCCCAACCTGTACTTACCAAGCCGCCTTGAATCAAAGTAAATGGTCCCCCCACTAGACAGTCCAACCTACTTGATCAAGTCTGTGAATAAACGGAAACACGTGTGCCGAAAAAACACTCCATCTTGTGTTACTCAGATCTCGTCTCCCATGACGCACTCATATCTATTCAGACCCATTCTTGCCACTCTTGCCTTGAGTGTCATTCGCCGGATTTCGAGAAGAAATAACCATTTGAGTGATAAGCATCAGAGAACTGAAGGGTGATATACAATGGCAAATCATTGGATTTGGGATATTTTAGAGTATGAATGCACTTCTTGGTGCTTTGAAAGCCGCTAAGTCCATCCAGATGGTCCATATGCCTTCTTGGACAAGTATGCATGTTCAGAAAAAGATGAACTCATCTTGAGTTTGGGGTTTCCTTTTGGTTGTTGAAGTGTTTGTTTTCTACATTACTTTTTCTTAAAGAATATACGCAAAAAAAATATAAGGAAGGAAGGGAGATAGGAGGAAGAAAGAAAGAAAGAAGAGGATATTGTTCATGTTGAATTCTTTTGATTAAGAAAAGGGATCAAAAGATAAAAATAGAAATGAAGGAGAACATTTTTGTTTTTCAAGTAAAGATCAGAAAATCAAGAGGAAATTGTCCTTCTCCCTTGTTATCCCCCATTGCTTGTGCGCCTCTCTCTTGCAGCTCTGCTTAAAAAAAAGTAAGACTGAAAGAAAGAAAAAGGAAGACATTTCGAACCATAACACCAACCCACATGTCTTTTTATTTATAATCAGATGTTCTTGAACAAAGAGCCAAGAAGATATGATTTTTATGGTGATTCATCATGAGATGACCCTATAGGGCTGATGATGATCCAGAGCAAGTAAGAATGGATCATAATAAGACCTCATTGGCGAACGATCGAGTCAAAGTCTTATGAGGCAAGACGATACAACTTCTGACATGAACCTCGCTCTTGACTTCGACGTCTTTAGCTATCCATCGCGGATTTCACACAAGGTGTAGAAAAGCAGGGGGAAATCATCAGGACAGATATCTAGGGTAAAAATCGGGAAATAGATGATGAGCTTACCCAAGACTGAGATGGTGAATTTGAGCGGATTGGCGTCGCTGGTGTTGGGGCAACCTTCGACTCGGGCCCAGGGACCGATCTTAGTATCCTCACTAAGGATCGAATGCATTACGCAGCTGTTTTGCTATTTGAGGAAAACCAGAAAGAGATGATCAGGAGCCTGGAAGAGGAGGGTGGGAAGACTGTTCTATCGGTGGAAAGAGAGAAACTTATTTACTTCGAGGAGACTGTTATCGAGAACAATCGAGTCCTTAACTCGGACCCCAAAGCCGATCCTAACATTAGCGCCGATGGAGACGTTAGGGCCGATCTTCGCGGAGGGGTCGATCACCGCCGTCTCGTCGATATAACATGGCTCCACAATCTCTGGTCCTAGTAGGTTTGGGGGCGGGGTCTTGGCAATGATCGTCGGCGATCGTCGGCGTAGAAGGACCGGGTTGTTGGACTTGTAGGATTCCAGAACTAGCGCATTCGCCGGTAAGGCAGACCTAAACAAATGAATCTCGTCTTAGTATCTATACTTTTTTTTCCTCTCTCTATGTTAAAAATGATTGGCTTACCCGGCTGTCTTGATCTGTTTCCAAAGCGACTTGGTCTCATAGACGTATAGTTTACCACGGTCTGCTAGTGGTGAGATGACGTCCTGTTCGAGTCGTAATTGGTCATCTTGACGAGATAAGGGGTCATCACTTGAATCGGGCGTAACAAGGAAGTCAGAAAAAGGCACATCATCTAGTCATTCAAAAAAGGAAGAAGAACGAAGAACGAAGGAGGAAAGGCTTACGCGGTCTGTTTGACCTTGAGATCCATGGCGGCCTTGATCTCATCAAAGATCGATTTATCGAAGAGATAGACGCCAGTGTTGATGATATTAGAGAGGAACGACTCGGGTTTCTCGACGTAATGGAGCGCCTGGGAGGTCTCGGGGTTGGTGACGATGCATCCGAACTTGGTCGAGAGTTCCTTGGAGACCCGGACGGCCATGAGGGTACCGACGCCTCGATGCTTGTCATGGAAGTGTTTGAGCTCGAGGAAGGGGAACGAGGAGGCTATGTCGGAGTGTAGAACATAGATCTGTTCTGGCGAGCCTTTTAGGATCGCATCTCGGAAGTGATACAACCCTCCTGCCGTACCTAAGGCTTCGTATTCACGCATGTATCTATGATGATCGATCGATCAGTTTTACTTCCCCCCAATTAAAAGCGGTGATAAGGAAGGAAGGAAGGAAGGAAGGCTGACTTGATTTGGAGGGATGGGAAATCCCTGCAGGCTTGCTTGATGAACGGGGCCAATACCGAGTCCTCGTAGAATCCGATGAGGAGGATTTCCTTGAGATCGGGGATCTTGGAGAGCGCCTGGATGCCATGCCAGATGATCGCTCTGCCGGCGAGTGGGAATAGCGGCTTAGGGATATCGAGCGTCAAGGGACGCATTCGAGTGCCCTGGAGAAGAAGACTCGGTCAGTCTTTTTGAACACCCCTTCTATCTGGGTCGAGATGGACTCGTTTACCTTGCTGGGACCACCGAGTAGATAGACTGCTTTCGAACCCATTGCGTTATTTATGATAATGTGTCGCTATTGGGGGGTAAGGAGAGGGTTGGTTTTTTTTTTCTCTTTTGTTGCAAAGAGTAGGTAAGGAAGCGGTCAACAGGGTGGTGGGTGCTATGTAAGTAGGTTTGGGGCTGGGTTCAGTTGGGTTGGGTTGGGTTGGTTTATCAGCTGGAAATTGGGGCACAGCCAAACCTTGGCTTAATAATACTGCAATCCACCCACTTCAACAAATACACACATACATATACAGTTTAGCCTCATGTTGAGCAAATATGCACTCAGAGGATAATCAAAGATATTGCTGGATCGACCTTCATATGGTCGTTCATCGCAAGGATGGGAAAATTGTTAAACGACTGGTACATATATGGCGTCCAGCTTGAGACCTGGGTTACAAGCAATTGCAGCTGATCAGGTTGTCAAGTTGCTTTATTGACCCAGTCGACTGACAACCGGGATGTCTTTCTCTCCTTAACATTTACCATCCTGATTCCTGATTCCTGGCCAGAACACTCCAGCTATACTCGACGTCGGATATACAAATACATATCACAACAACATAACTGTTAATCCCTACTGCAGATGTGTGTTCGAAAGATTTT